TGAATGGACCGCAACCTACTGGACCGATTCCGCTATAGTCCTTCGCTACGTTTGCAATGTACGGACGCGCTCCAGCACGTGTTTTGCCAACCGGTTGGCTGTCATTTACGAACAAACGGAGGTGGGTCAATGGCAGCACATAAAATCCTGTGACAATCCAGCCGACTACTCCTTCAGAGGTGTCCTGAACTTGGAGAAAATAAAACCATGGGTACATGGTCCGGCGTTCTTGACAGACCAGACCAGCGAATGGCCCGACACTCAGATTTCCCCTGTCGCAACACAGTTACCAGAGACTAAGAGGACCGTTACACTAGTCACTGCTTCAACCAACATCTTACTGCAGCGACTGAATCGTTTTTCACGATGGACGAAGGTGCTGAGGGTGGTTGTCTGGTGGACCAGATTCAAACAACAACTCGTTATTCTGAGAGGACTCCGACCTGATGACACCTTGAATATTGGGCCCGTCGTTCCAACCGAATTGAAAACAGCAAAAGCTGATGTCGTTCGCATGGTTCAATCACAAGCCATCCCGTTGGAACTTCAGAGGTTAGGCAAGGGGAATCGTGACTCCGACCGACGTGCATTACGTTGCAGTTGTCTCCGAGGACTCTGTTCAATATTGGTAGATGGATTGCTGAGAGTAGGCGGAAGATTGACAAACTCTGAATTGGACTTTGACGCTAAACATCCCATAAAGCTAACCAATAACCACTGCATCACGCACAAACTCATCATACATATTCACATGCAGGAAGGTCATGCCAGAAAAAATCACCTACTCAATACGATTCGCCTTCGGTTTTGGATAGTGAAAGGGTGAGCTGCGGTGAAGCGATCGTATATGTCATATGCTTTGCATATAATGACCGTACACAGCATGTCAACCAACTCCTTTCTTATGGCCTGGAAGAGATTCGTTGGTAGACGAGGTAGTCCATCAAATGTATTCTCCGACAACGGGTCCAATTTCGTCGGTGCACGAAAGGAGTCGAGCAAATGGTTGATGCGGTTAGACAAACGCGCCCTGCAAGACCGACTGTCGCCATCTGGAACCCGATGGAACTTCAACCCACCTTACAGCAGTCACCGCGGAGGAGTTTGGGAACGGCTTATACGGTTGGTGCGAAAAATATTGTCAGCATTATGTGAACAACTGGCGCCGGATGATGAAACTTTGAGCACATTTCTGGAAGAGGCCGAGAGGATACTCAACAACCGACCGCTTGTACCCGTCACCAGCGATGACCTGCAAAGACTGGCACTAACTCCGAGTTACCTTCTGCTATTGAGGTCCAGTGATGGTCTAGACATGCCAAAACTATTCGTGGCTGCTATACCGCGGGTTGGAAGCATGCG